AATGGGGTGTCTAGAGATATCTAGGGGTTCCTGCAACTAATACAGCTCTTAAATGCGAGACACAAAACCTCTTCTTAGCAGTCCTGAGGCATTGGTTCAAACTGGACCCTTCCCCTTTCCTGGCCCCAGGGTTCACCTCTCAGTTCCGCACTCACATGCTCCGTTACGCGGGACTGCCTCTGAAGCCTAATTTTACGTATGAGTGCACCTTCCCTCCTGAACAAAGCCATAAGCCATCCCAGATAGCAAATTTCATGAGCCGTTTTCTCAGCCTGGCAGCACTCTCCGGAGGAGCAATTACTAGCACATCACTCTTTGGCACTCCCTTTTTCCAAGCCTCTCTGCCTTGAGGTAGGTAAAAGAGTCTTTATGGGTGTTTGATCTCCTCTTCTCAGCGTTAGCCCTTTAGTTGCTTCTGAGTGGCTTTCTAGTTACTTGATGATTTCTGCAGTGCCTTGAGGGTTAACAAACAGTCTTCCAGTTGGGTACATTTTGTCCAGGCTTTTGATTATGACTCTTAAGTGCTTCCACGTTTGCCAAACCCTGTTCCCTTGGTCTGTGTGGGCTACATAAGATTTTGTGTGTCTTTGTTACTCAATGGTACTCAGTGAGGCTCAAGTACTAGAGTGAGACTGTGCCTGAGCAATCAATCTCCTGGATTAAGTGGTGGAAAGCCATAGGATAGTACGGCAGTAGGACTGGAAGGGATCATCTTATCCTGTCCCTACATCAGGGCAGGATCCGACCTAACTAAAGTATCCCAGCCAGTTGCCTGTCTAACCTGCTCTTGACAATTTCCAGGTGTACAGATCTGACAACTTCTCTAGGTAGCCTGTTGCAATGCTTAACCACCCTCATGGTCAGAAAGTTCCTCCTAATCTCTGCTGGGCTCTTTCTGATCTGTCTACATCTTTCCAGAAGTGTGGGGCCCAATGCCAGACATAATAGTCCAGGTGAGGCCTCACCGGTGCCTGATAGAGGGAAAGAATCACTTCCCTTGATTTGCAAGCACCACTGCTCTTAATGCAGCAGGAGGATTGTAACAAGGTGCACGGCTCAGGGGCTGAAGCCCAAGTGCAGGGGTTCGAGGGAATAGCTGCCTGCCTGGAAGCTCTGGGCCAGCTGGCAGGGATGATTGTCTGGCCATTAGGTAGTTAAAATTCCCCAGGATGGCAGCTGAGAGGGAGAGGAGGAGGAGGAGGATGTGCTGGTGGTGGCAGTGGTGATGGCTGGTACAATGATGGAAAAGCACAGAGCCTGGGTTTCCTCTCCCTCTAGGTCTGAGGAGAGACCAGAAGATTTACTTCTGTTGTTTGCCCATTTGTTTGTGTTGTTTCTTGCTCTGTTTGCTGTGTGGACAAGCTTCCCACATGTTAAATAAAGGGACAGGAAACTGGAGCAAAGTGCTGACTGGCCTTTGTGAGTAAGCTGGGTCTTGGATCAGGATAAAGGAGGGACGGCTCACTCCAAGGATGCTCCTGGGTTTTTTCCACCAGAACACATGGTTGGCTCATAAGCAGCTTATGGTCCACTGTAACCCCCAGGTCCTTCTTTGCAGTACTGCAGCCTGGCCTGTCATTTCCAAGCCTGAATCTGTGCATGCAATGATTAGGTCCCAAGTGCAAGACTGCCCTTTTCTTGTTGAATTTGATCCAATTCAGTTGAGACAGTTTGCCAGTCTTTGAGTCTTAACATAGGTCCACATCTGCTGGTCCTTCCTCTGGTAGATAATTTCCCTGTCATGACATTTATGCATGCTATCATTCATTGGTATATATGATCTGATTTTCTCCCCAGCAGGAGCTGAGCTGAAGGTAGGTAATTTTACCGGGGGTGTAATGGGACATTCTGGATTTACTGCTCATTTCCTTTTTTTTTTTTTTTTAACTTTCTCCTAGTGCTGTCCCCTTCCTGCTGTCTCCTCCTCTCTCTCTATCTCACTCTCTCCCCCACCCCCACTTGTCTATTGTGTTATATTTTCTCTCTCCTTCGTATGCTCTTTCTTCTGCAGTCCTTTCATAGCATCTCTTGAAATGAACTTGCATTCACAAAGGCTTGTACTCTATATACGTGTCTTATTTTTTAGTCTGTGAAGATGTATATCTACCCTGCCTCCTGCCAGAGTTTAGAGGATCACTGGAGTTTAGAGCATCACCCTACCGTTCCTCACACCTCAGCTATGCTAATAGAGTTGCTCTGTGATTATGCCCCTTCTGTCCAAGCAGCACAGTTACCAGAGGCTTTAAGTCTGAACCCTTCGGGCCGTGCCAGCTTTACAGCCCCAGAAACAAACATTGAAGAGTTTAACTCTGCAACTGGTTTCCTGCTCCAAGAACTCAGTTGAGGACCTGGCACAAGAAGATGTCTCTGGCCCAGTGCTCCCTCCTTAGCTCCAGTAATTGATTGCACTTGGGAGGTGTCTCCAGTGCCTTGAGTATACTTGGGTCTACAAGGAGCTCTAGTGTGTTGCCATTTGGTTAGTCCAAAAAATCCCTTCATTAGCACCGTGCAAACCAAACCACTGAAATCATCCCATGCACCCTCCTTTTCCTACAGGTCAAGATAAAATCATTTTTATTTCTTTAGGAAAAACTTCAGGCCCATTTGAAGACTCTGATGAAAAGGAGAGAAAAGCTCCTGAGAGTGAAATGGTTTAGAGAAGGGAAAATTCGGGAATAGCTGGTAGGTGCCTTGGGACCACAAGGGAGAGGGAGTTCCAGGGCTGAGGAGCAGTTACCCAGAACCACCTCCCACACAGTTTCATCAAAGAAGCTTTGTGTATATGTGGTCCTCGCAGGAAACTGCTCTTTGCTGACATTAGGAACCATAGTGGGACTTAAGGGAAGAAGGGGGAGCCTGAACTATGCCAGGCTCTGAGTTTGGCCTTAGAGGTCAAAACCAGCATCATCTTTTGCACCCAGTGGAAGCCAGAGCAGACTCTGGAGCACTGCAGCAACATGCTCCTGACAACCCGCCTCTGTCACAAAGGAGGCTGACTTGTCCTGCACCAGCTGCAGCTTCTGGATGGGGCTCAAGTGCAGGCCCATAGAAAGCACATTTCTGCCTTAGGTTACAAAGACGTGGATGGCAATTGCCAGATCCAGACCAGATGGTGTTGGTGAAAGGTACCCCTAGTCACTCCCATTAATGAGCAGTTTCTTTATTCACCACAAGCCAGGAGGGCTGCCAAACAGCATCGCCTCTGTCTCGTCTAGATTCAACTTCAATTGCTTCTCCTGTGTCCAGTCCCCAGCTGTTGCCAGCTTCTGGGTAAGGACCAAGACTGAAGTGCCTGGTTTAGATGAAAAAGAGGGACAGAGTTGAGTGTGATCAGCATAGTGATGGTGCCTCACTCCAAACCTCTGACTGATCTTTCCCAGCATGGCCACCTCCCATTAATACGTATTAGTGTCTAATGCAATGGCAAGAATAAATCACTTCAGATCGACATGGGGAAGGATATTATCCAGGTGTCTTTGTCTTTGCCAAGAATCTCTCCCCTGCACACTCAGGCCTGTGCTGGTGTCACTTACTATAGTTGTTTTACAGAAACGGGCAGGTGCCGAGAAGCAGAAGATTGTGTCTGAGTTTAACCAACTGCGCCAGCTAATAGAGGAACAAGAGCAACTCCTGCTGGCCCAGCTGGGAGGGCTGGAGGGGTTTGTGAATATGCAGAAAGAAAAGGGCACCAAACTCTCTGAGGAGATTTCCAATCTCAATGAGCTGATTGGCGAGATGGAGGCAAAGTGCCAGCAGCCAGCGAGTGAGTTCCTGCAGGTGAGACTGTGCTGGAACCAGCCCAGAGCCTTGTACCGGGAAGGGAGGGCTGCTGGCTCCTGGAGTCCAGCGGTTAGAGACCACAGGGTGACGCAGGGGTTGGCAATTGTTTTGACCCGTGGGCCTCATAGGGAGCTTTGATGAGCTGTTGCAGCCATGGCCAGTGCCTCTCCTCCCCCTGCAGAACAACTCACTTACGCTCCCTATGCGGGATTAGACCAGTGGCAGGCTGTGTTCAGGAGTGGGACGGACGGTTGACACTGGGATCAGGGGTGGGGCACAGGGTGGTGACAATGTGGTGCTGGAGCCCTGGGCAGAGCCATGATCTGCTGCCTGCACCCCCCTGTGATGGTTGCAAGTACTGTGGGCAGGGTCATGCAGGGAATAGATCATGGCTCTTCCCTGGGTCCCGGCCCAGCACTGTCATTGCCCCAAGATCCTGGCCCCCTTCCTGGGTGCAGCTCTTTGACTGCCCAACCACGGGTGCTGGGGGGTCGGGCAGGGGGTTGCTCCACAGAGACCCTGGGATCATGAGGCATGGGCAGGGTGGGACTGGGGCAGAGCCCTGGCTTTGTGGGCAGGGACGTGCAGGGTTGGGGCCCAGGGAAGAGCTGTGATTTACTGCTTGCATGCCCCTGCCCTCTGGGTGGTGTGTGTGTAGGGGGGGCCTAAAGGGGCCTGACTGAGTGGTAGGTCCTGGGAGCAGCTGGGAGTGAGGGGAGGGAGGCAGGAGGCACGTGGCATGTGCAACAAAGCCCTGCCTAAGTCTGCTTCTGGTGTAACTGCAGCTGCCCGGATGCTGCTCAGCTTCCCCCCCCTGCAGCGGCTCCTGCCCCTGCTGTGCCCATCTGGATGGGGAGGAATCTGCAGCTGTGCAGTTCTTGCCTCAGCACACAGGGCTCTGGCTTCACCTCCTGGCTGCCTTTGCACCCACTCTGCCCGCCCAGCACCATAAGCAGCGACCTGAGGGTGGCAGCGTGACTGGAAGGTGGGTAGGAGCTGGAGCCAGAGCCCTGCGTGCTGGGGCAGGAACCACCTGGCTGAAACTTCCTCCCCACTTGGACGGGTGCAGCAGGGGTAGGAACATGAGAAGGAGCCTCCACTGGAGGTAAGGGGAGCTGGCCAGCACCCCGGCAGCTGCAGCTGCAGCAGAGCAGGCCTGCTGGAAGCTTTCTGGCTGGGACCCTGGCTGACGAGCGCAGACAGGAGCACAGCACTGGCAAGGCTTGGCCCCATGTGGAGTGCTGTGGGAGCAGCCACAGGCCAGATCCAATCATTTGGGAGGGCAGATCCAGCCCATGGGCTATATTTTGCCCGCCCATGCGTTATGTGCATCACAGAGGTGAGAGTTGTTTTTGGTCTCTGAAAAATTATAGATACACACATGCTAGAGACAGAGAAGCCTTGGCAGCATAGCCAATAATTTGCCCTGCTGGTTACATAGTGCTTCTTTATATGCTTGTTTCCAAATGCCCCCCAAATCCCCAAGGTGTGACATGGGCAACTCATATTGTCTCTCTTTCTCCCCAAGGATATACGAACGACCCTGAGCAGGTACGTGGCTCCACTTTACTCCTCACCTGGGCTGGTGCTGGGAAGCTGCTGCAAACCACAGTAGACTTGTACCTTACTAGGGCTCAGCAGTCTGATTACTGGGGCAGGATATAAATGTCTCCAGGGAACTTAATCCCAACAGGAGCATTTCTCCTAAGCTGAGGGGTCATCCATCCCATCACACAGGCCATTTTTAACCAAAAGCTTCTTCAAGGGATGCAACTTTCCCTGAGGTCTGGCTGCTTCTGGGCCCTTGGCATGGAATACGGGCCATTCTTTGCTAGGTCATCGATCACAAATCTACCCAGGTCGGCAGCAACCAAGGCGGGGAAAAACATCTGAATGGGGCAGTGTGAGGGACGGTCACACTGCCACTGCCCGTGCTGCACCTCCGTGGAGCAGGGCTGGGCAGGGAATGGCACGGAGTTCTGCCAGTTCATTCACTCACCTGAGATGGGTTTTTCTAGGTGTGAGAAGGGGGAGATCCCACGGCCAGTGCCAATTTCTCCAGAGCTGGAAAGGAGACTCCAGGATTTCTCCCAGATAACTTGTGCCCTGACGGAGACTGTGAAGATGTTCAAAGGTACCGAGAAGGGATGTTGAAGGGGATGAGGAGAGGAGTGTCTGTGGCCATGGGAGGAGATGGGCTCTGGTCTATTGACTGAAAACCAAATTACTTATAAAAGGCACAGAGGCCACAAACTGAGTGGATGTAGGAGAGCCCAGGCATTAACGTGGTACATTCATTCACCCTGTGACCTCAGAATGTTATTATAGCCCCTATATAGCCAATACCCAGGTAATTCTCAGTCTTTCCCAAAGGCAGAGCCAGGCAGGATGTGTGCTCTGGGCTCTGTCACTCGCAGCTGCACAAGGAGTCGGTGAGAGCTGCAGGAGCCCAACTCTTCTGAGTGCCAGGGCTTGGGTGCTCAGTGGTTGGCATCCAAAATAGAGACTCCAAATCCAAGACTTTTTCTGAGATATGGATCTAGCCTGTCTGGCTGGAGTGGGCTGTAGGGAAGGAGAAATCTGCCCTCCCATGTCTTCTCCCTCCTCCCCAGGAGCAGCAGGCACAGGGAGGAGGGCCCCTGTATGTGTCTAAAGTAGAGGGGGACAGGCCAGGCAGATGGAGGGATGTTCCCTGGGAGAAGCTACACCTTTGATGTCCTACTCCCTTCCAAAAGCAAGACATCACCTCCAGGCAGAGATGGTGTCACTGTCGAGGGGTAGGGAGATGCAGGGGCAGCTTCTGAGGTTACAACAGCTACAGGTGTTGGTAGCTGGGATGGAGATGGAGCCACTCCAGCATCTCTGCTCAGTCTGAGGCACTCGGGTCAGAGAGGTGGGACCTGGGCTGCAATGTCCGTACCAGCCTGACAGCAGGAAGTGTCATGTCTGTGCTCCTTCTCCCTCCAGACACTCTGCCATCTGCCCTGGAGAAGAGAAGCAGGGGTCCATCGCAGCCATACACCAAGGGTAGGCTCTCATCGGGATTATCCTGAATCACAGAAAATTCCCCAAATCCCCCACAAGCCATGGACACTTTCTCTGCTCAGGCCTGTGCCCTGAGACTGATGTGTAGCTGTTGATTCAGAGGTGGGAGGTAGCAGTTGTCCCTCAGGGCTGCTGTGTCTCTCTTCTTGCCCCTGGCAGGGCAGCTTCCCCTGTTTCTTCTCCCACTGTCTTCCTCTTCTTGGGGCAGGGCTGGGCTCTCCCCAGGGAACTGCTCCCTGCTGACTGGGAAGGAGGCGGGGAGGTGAAGTTTCTGTGCCTTGTGCCACCTCCTCATCCTCCTGCACTATTTGAGTAGCTCCCCTCCACAGCTGCCTCTTCACCTCCATTCCCAGCCTGGGAGTGCAGGGCAGGTCAGAGGAGGCTGGGCAGGGAATGGCACGGAGTTCTGCCAGTTCATTCACTCACCTGAGATGGGTTTTTCTAGGTGTGAGAAGGGGGAGATCCCACGGCCAGTGCCAATTTCTCCAGAGCTGGAAAGGAGACTCCAGGATTTCTCCCAGATAACTTGTGCCCTGACGGAGACTGTGAAGATGTTCAAAGGTACCGAGAAGGGATGTTGAAGGGGATGAGGAGAGGAGTGTCTGTGGCCATGGGAGGAGATGGGCTCTGGTCTATTGACTGAAAACCAAATTACTTATAAAAGGCACAGAGGCCACAAACTGAGTGGATGTAGGAGAGCCCAGGCATTAACGTGGTACATTCATTCACCCTGTGACCTCAGAATGTTATTATAGCCCCTATATAGCCAATACCCAGGTAATTCTCAGTCTTTCCCAAAGGCAGAGCCAGGCAGGATGTGTGCTCTGGGCTCTGTCACTCGCAGCTGCACAAGGAGTCGGTGAGAGCTGCAGGAGCCCAACTCTTCTGAGTGCCAGGGCTTGGGTGCTCAGTGGTTGGCATCCAAAATAGAGACTCCAAATCCAAGACTTTTTCTGAGATATGGATCTAGCCTGTCTGGCTGGAGTGGGCTGTAGGGAAGGAGAAATCTGCCCTCCCATGTCTTCTCCCTCCTCCCCAGGAGCAGCAGGCACAGGGAGGAGGGCCCCTGTATGTGTCTAAAGTAGAGGGGGACAGGCCAGGCAGATGGAGGGATGTTCCCTGGGAGAAGCTACACCTTTGATGTCCTACTCCCTTCCAAAAGCAAGACATCACCTCCAGGCAGAGATGGTGTCACTGTCGAGGGGTAGGGAGATGCAGGGGCAGCTTCTGAGGTTACAACAGCTACAGGTGTTGGTAGCTGGGATGGAGATGGAGCCACTCCAGCATCTCTGCTCAGTCTGAGGCACTCGGGTCAGAGAGGTGGGACCTGGGCTGCAATGTCCGTACCAGCCTGACAGCAGGAAGTGTCATGTCTGTGCTCCTTCTCCCTCCAGACACTCTGCCATCTGCCCTGGAGAAGAGAAGCAGGGGTCCATCGCAGCCATACACCAAGGGTAGGCTCTCATCGGGATTATCCTGAATCACAGAAAATTCCCCAAATCCCCCACAAGCCATGGACACTTTCTCTGCTCAGGCCTGTGCCCTGAGACTGATGTGTAGCTGTTGATTCAGAGGTGGGAGGTAGCAGTTGTCCCTCAGGGCTGCTGTGTCTCTCTTCTTGCCCCTGGCAGGGCAGCTTCCCCTGTTTCTTCTCCCACTGTCTTCCTCTTCTTGGGGCAGGGCTGGGCTCTCCCCAGGGAACTGCTCCCTGCTGACTGGGAAGGAGGCGGGGAGGTGAAGTTTCTGTGCCTTGTGCCACCTCCTCATCCTCCTGCACTATTTGAGTAGCTCCCCTCCACAGCTGCCTCTTCACCTCCATTCCCAGCCTGGGAGTGCAGGGCAGGTCAGAGGAGGGAGCGTGAGGCTGTCGCCCGCCTCCTCTTGCCCCCCCTCACTCACAGCTCTGGGGCCCTTCCTGCCCGTGTCCCTGCTCCTGGGAATGGGGCAGCCCCCCCAGGGAGGCCAAGGAGCAGGGGCAGGAGTTGCTGCCAGTGCCAGGCTGGGGAGCTGCGAGGCCATCTGTGCTCAGCCTCTGGGCCCAGGGCAGAGGCAGCTACTGGGGCCAGGACGATCCCAGGCAGGACAGGGTGGTGGGGACGGGGAGGAACGGCCCCGCCTGCCCCAGGGCTGAGAGCTGCCCCGTCGCTGTGATTCTCTTTGCCAGTGATGGTGACTCTGGATCCAGACATGGCTCATCCCTGTCTCATTGTGTCTGTGGATGGGGGAAGCGAACAGCAGCATCTGCCCAACAATCCTGAGAGATTTGACACTCAGCCCTGTGTGCTGGGCTGTGAGGGATTCACCTCAGGGAGACACTGCTGGGAGGTGGAGGTGGGGAAGGGGTACGGCTGGGCAACGGGGGTGGCCAGCGAGTCTGTGAAGAGGAATGGATGCATCAGCCTTAGCCCCGAGGTGGGGATCTGGGCTGTGCAGCGTTGCTGGAGGGGTCAGCTCCAGGCTCTCACGGCCCCGGCTCCCACCCGCCTTGACCTGCCCCAGGCACCCAGGAGGGTGCGGGTATCTCTGGACTGTGCAGGGGGGTGGATGTCATTTCTTGATGCTGACACCAAGGCCCCGATCTTCCTGCCAGCCTGGTTTTCTGGGGACACAATCCAGCCCTGGCTCTGCCTCCATTTCCATCTTTTGCAACAACTGGTTTTTGGTCAAGCCAAGCTCAGAGTATCACTCTGAGCCAGGCAAGGGATGTTTCCCAGCAAATAATCAAATGGGTATCTCTGGACTTGTTATAACCAGGCTCTCTGACTGTGTCGAGAGAGCTCCCTTCTGCTCAGCCCTCCCTCCCTCTCTTGGACTCAGGTGATCTCTCTGCTCTTACAGCAAGCCCTGGCTGTGTCTGTACAGACCAGCCCCTGCCACTGCTGCAGGGTCCCAAGGTTTAACAGGATCTGGGCCCCAGGGACAGACATGACACGTTCTGGTGGCCATGAGGCTCCTGTTCTTTTCCAGCTCTAGGGTGCCCTCCCTTTATTCTCTGCAACTCTTTGGGGTCAGGCCTCTTTGCCTTTATCAGTCTCTGCCCCTCTTGTGCTCTGGTCTGAACCCCTTAGGTCTGCAATCTCACCCTATACAGCTCTGGCCTTGGCCCTTTTAGGTGCCGGACTCTGGCCTGAAACACCTTTGTTAGAATAACTGACGTAGGAAAAGGGACGCTGCCCCCAAGGATCCTAGAGCAAGCCCTGGGCTGGCAGTACCTGCTTGTGGATTCTTTTCAGACCCCATTGATCTTTCTGTGTCCTTATATTAAGCGGCCCCCCCGTGACCTGTACGCGCCTCCCCGAACACCAAATGCCTTATGTGCTGTTCACAGCCTCCAACCTCCCTTGCAGGCTTGAAGCTGTTACCACTTATCCATCAGCGGGGACTCACTCCCAATCTCCACTCCAGTCCGGTTAGGCCTCTTAAGCCTTTATCATTCTATGCTACATTTTAGGCTCAGATCTCTTTGCCTCGATCAATCTGTTCAGACCTTTTATGCCTTGTATATTCTCTGCAACTCTTTGGGCTCAGGCATCTTTGCCTTTATCAATCCCCACTCCTCTTGTGCTGTGGTCTCAGCCCCCTTAGGGCTACAGTCTCACTTCTCTAGGGCTCTGGCTGAGACAGGGAAGGGGAGGGCAGTGTGGGACTGGAGAGTGCATGGGCAGGGCCAAGCTTCAGAGTGCAGGTTCATGGATGGGAGCAAAAGAGTTGTGGGGTTGGGACACAAGAACTGTTACTGCCTCTGGGACAGAGAATTAATGAAGTAGGATTTGGAAGCTGGAAGCTCCCATCTGCTTTGAGCAATTAATACAGCCCTGTGCAGTAGAGTTGCAGCTTGATCTTCCAGTCAACAGCTCTGGTAGCAGGGCCCAAACCCCCTTCCTCTATCCATATTGAAGAGTTAGTACGATTCTTCTGGTGTCATGCCTAGGGGTGGGAGGGGAGTTCAGCCACCGAAGGCCTGACCAGTAATGCAGGATACATCTTTAATGTCATTTGTGAGTAGGGTATGTTCACTGATGGTAGGAAGAGTTGTGGGGTTTGGGAAACAAGAACTGTTGCTGCCTCATGGACAGAGAATGAAAGAAGTAGGAATTGGGAGTGAGGGGAGAAGCTGGAAGCTCCCATTAGCTTCCAGCATTGATACAGCCCTGTGCAGTAGGGTCTCAGTTGGATCTCCCATCCAAAAGCTCCTGCAGCAGGGCCCAAGCCCCCTTCCTCTTTCTATCTGGAAGAGTTTGTACCTTCCTTGTGTTGTCATGCCTAGGAGTAGGTGGGGAGTTCAGGCACCAGAGGCCTGAGCAGTAATGCAAGGGTCATCTTCAATGGGTCCCTGTCCAAAGTGCTTTGACCTCTGCGGGCTCACACTGGTAGCAGGGACAGCCCTGGTGTCAGCAGAGGGACCAGCAGAAGAAAGAGAGAGAATTTTTTAAAACTTAAATTTGCTAACTGGAGAATCCTGTGTAAAGGAGGAGAGGGGGTGTGGGGCCTGATCTGTGGACTGACTTTTGCCGTGGAGCAAAGGATTGTGGGGGACATGGACAGGAAGGACCAAGGCTGGGAAAAAAAAGTGATAGGCAAAACAGTCAGTGAAAGAGGCCGGAGAAAGGAGGAAAAACGTAGAGGAGGGAAGAGAGTGCAAAAGGAGATTCCCAACATGGTTCCCAGGGTGAGGCTGGCTCCTTGGTGCCACACATTAGCGCATGGATTTCCCCATCCCTCCCTGTTATGGGGTAACCAAATCTGCAGCGGGGCATTTCACAGACATTCCCCCCCACAAGTTGGGCAACAACCATCATGTTTGCTCTCTGATAAGCAACTAAAGCCAAGCTACCATAAGTGCATTTTTATTGTGAATATGTTTGTGTGTGTTCAGCTCCAGGGTTAGACTTGGAGATTAAGGGCTTCTGCTCAAAAGTAGCTGAGTCCATAGCAAAGGGGACTTTGTTAGTGTTCCTGTGAGGCAGCTGGGAAGATCTCAGAAGAGAAGATGGGAAAAGTTTTCAGGAACTGAATGAAGGAAGATGAAGTGTTAGACAAGGCTGTGGATTCAAGGAGAAGTCCCTTGGTGGGAGGGGGTCATTCAAATCTTCGGATGAAGCAGGAGACCCCAGCAGGAAAAGGTTGTGGGGTCTTCCTAGATGTTAGTGGGATGCTTGGTGACCGAAACAGGGAAGGCACCTGGAAGCTGTTCCAAGTTAGAAGGTAGCGGTGCAGTGTTTCGGTCTGGTTTCTGTTTGCCTGTCTGCAAGTGGAATCTTGTCCTGTGTTTTTGTCTTATGCAGTAAAGCTGTTCTGTCCTGACCGTTTGTCTCATGATAACAGCGATTTCGTGGCAGCTGGCAGCATCAGGCTTCTGTGCTCATATCTATTGTGGTAAACCTAGGGAAGGCAAGAGCTTGCAGGTTCTCTACTAAGCTGTAAGGTCTGGTCAGGGTGCTGGTCAGATTGTCTAGCTAAGTAAAGAGTTGTCTCCCATAAGCAAGACCCAGTCTCAGTCTCAAGGTACAGCAGGGCACTGGGTAAATGTCTGTGTCTTGTAGATAACCCTGAGGCCACTCTGGGGTTTGTCAGACTCTCCCCTCCCTAGACTTGCCCAGAGCCAGAAAGCTGAGGGCCAGGTCTGAAGGGATTTGCTCTCGGCGGGGATATGTCTTTTGTGTTAAAGTTCCCCAGCTCCAAGGTGTGACCTTGACTCTGCCTCGGTGGGGAGCTTGGGTGATGGCAGGGTATGTGCCAACTCATTTCTGAATGACAGCCTGAGTATGACAGTGTACATGATAGAGGGCTGTAGTCACTGACTGCACCTCATTTGCATTCCCTGTCTTGATATTTCCCTGATTTACTTTTTCTGCTTCTCTGTTCCTCTACCTTTGCAGACCATGGGGCAGCTGGAGGTAGACCACCAGCGTACTGAGAGGCATCCAGCTGCGTCACCGCATGCCTCAGAGCTTTTAATAAAACACCTCCCACTGCTCTGCCATGACATGAATGGAAATGGTGAATTGTCAGGGACCTTGACATTGGATGGTGAGTGGCCAATGGGTAGTAATCCCATCTAGGTGTCTTTGCTCCAGCTGTAGGATTACAAGAGGTAGGGCCATCCCAATACTGGGCATCTCTTGGTGAGATCTAGCAAGGGCAGAGCTGGGTTGGGGCCATGTTGGTGTACTGAATGAAGTGAAATAAAGCTGTGCTTTTTCTCTCTGCTGGGATTTTTGTTGTGCTGCATGTCCTGGAATAAGCCTGCTCCCCTGAAGAGCAAGAATTACTTGGTGGCACTGTCAGGATTCGCTGTGGAGGCTTCATGGACAAACTGAAGTGTGAGTTGTGGATGAGTCACAGAGGAACCCATATTTGAGCCATGGCTGCAGAGTGCCAGGGCCCTGTCAGTCAGGCTCCAGTTCTTGCCCTACACACTTCTCTGATCACAGAATTCACCCTGCAGCCTGTTTCCGCCACACAGCCCCACAGCACTCAGCATGGCCCCACACCACCTCTGCACAGCCTCTTCATCCCCAGCCTGGTCTTAAACCCCAGCCCTCCTTCCCAGGGACTCCCACATGGCCTGTTCTGCCTGCCTTTCCCCTGCACTCCATGCACAACTCCACAGGATCTCACCAGCCTCCGTGAGCATGTGTGACAGGGGTGCCTGAAAATTTTGACACGGCTTTTTTTTGGTGCAGTGCATTTGTGTTTGCACAAATGGCACTTTTGAGTGGGTTAAGCCTCGTGTGTCATTCCCCACAGATTTCAGTAGGGGAAGTTAAATACCAGTTTACCCCCTATAATGTCTTTTCTAATGTATTACAGCAGGAGGTGCATGTAAACTGCCCGGCTTCCCCAGACCCTGCCCTCGGGCTCTCCCTAGGCGGTCCTGATTCTTGCTGGGAGTCTCTTCTAAGCATGCTCATGGTCACCCCAAAATACTTGTCACTTATACCTGCCGATGCTCAGTCGGTCTGGTCTCTCTCCATCAGTACACAATCCAAAAAACCCCATCCCAATCCCAAGGACAAGTCGTGTGAATCCTCCCCTCCCATTCCTTTCCCTTCCCATCCCACCATGTGACAAATATATATGTTTTTTCTTTTATTTACTATAGCTGCTATGATAACTGCTATGGTATTATAAAATGTTCAGGGTTTATAGTAGCGGGTGGGTGATGTTGGCTTAGAAACGGTATTTAAAGGCCTGTTTTTTGGGGAATTAGCTTATAGATATAGATATATGCATTATAAGGGGTCAAGATGGGCAGCAGGGGTTAAATGGATTTCTAAAGAGCTTGGGAGACACACACACAGCTTCTCATGGCCCTGGAAGTAGATGGGCTGTCTAGCATGACAAGGCCAATGGATGGACACAGCCTGAGAATTGAAGAGGGACATGTCATAACATAAAATCACAGCCTTCAAGGTAGATAGGTTGTCTAACACAACAAGGACACAGTCTAGGAAACAGCTCGGGAACCAAAGAAGTATGTACCATACTGTCCTATAACACAAGATAAGTGACACCAGCTACAAGGCCCCAGAGCAGCAGAGGGGCCTAAGTCCTGTTTTTGGGGGAACAGACCAAATTAGGAGAAGGCTCAGAAGGCTATGTGGACGTGTGACCACAATCAGCCAGAGATAGCCATGGATGAAGTCATCATCATCAGGAGTCATCAAGGGGGAAGGAGAATACAAAAGCAGAGACTTGAGATTAACAAAGGGTCCCTCCTTTTGTCTTGCCCATCCCTCTCATCCCTCCCTTTGTCTTGTCCCTTGTCATCCTCCCTGTTTTGCTCCCTGAGACGGGTCCCCATCCCTTTCCCTATCCCTGTCCCCCCGGAAGGGTCCCTGAGACCACCATGGACCGAGGGCATACCAGCAACCCATCTCATGCACCCCACTGGAGCGGGGCTGTGGGTTTCGGCATCCCACCTCCAGACTGCTGACCCCTAAGAGACAGCCTCAGAGTGAAGACTGCATCCTGACCAGATGTATATGACTCTGACAGCCCTAGGATTGATAGGTCTAGAATTGCCTGGTTGTTTGTATTGCTGCTTTTTTGTTCTTACTCTGTATCAATAAACTCATCTATTATCAACTGGCAGGTGTTGCGGTCAGTCTGAGGGTTGTGCCTGCCCGGAACAAAGGTATAGGTGCTGGGTCCAAATTCAGTGTCAACGGGTGGGTGTTTGTTGCTGCCTGGTTGACTGGCGATTGCTGTCGATCTTGATGGTAGTGGCAGCTCTTCTGGCTTTTTCCCCCCTTTTTTTGGGACTACATTTCCCAGCATTCTTGAGCTCATTGTTCTTCATATTATCATATTAGTTTCCAGCCGGGGCTCCCATTGAACCCTCCCGTTCCCTGCCCAGGCACACCGTCAGTCTGTTTGTGTAGTGCCACGTACGACTTTGGGAGGTGTGTTGTGAATTGTTTTATAAATGTTTTTGGAATGTTTTGAAAACGGGTTGCTGTTCGGCCCACTTGGCTAGCCCCCCAAGAGCTATAACAGTTAACCTTCTCACCCACGTTGGGGAGGTGGGGCTCATTCAGATGTGGGTGACAGTGCATAATGCCCCCCACCCCCGAACCACTGGCAGTCTGGAAGCAGCAAACCCCTAGCCCAGTCCAGATTTCCTCCCCCTGGCCATCCTCCCATCTGTCACCCATCCGCAACACCACACATTCTTGTATACAGACACAGACTTAAAGTATAAATTAATTTATTTTAACATAACCAAGAGAAAGAACAAAGCACTTCTAGGTGTTGTTGCCAGCAATATAACTTGCTGGAAAATCATGCACAAGGGCCGCCCGACCAGCCTCTCCTTGAGGATATCTCTTTGATCCCTGTGCTGCTGCTGCTGCCCGGACACATCTCTGTTGTCTGGCCATTGCCTGTCGCACTTCTTCTTCCCACGACTCCTTGAAAACTTCTCCCTGGCTCTCACAAATATTGTGAAGCATGCAGGCTGCCACTACAAAGGCCGTGATATATTCTTGCTCTAAAGCTGGCACAAAAGCGCTGTCCAGTGTCCTTTCAGTCTGCCAAACACACATTGCGCAGCCATCGTGCAACTGCTCAGATGGTAGTTAAAAATGAGCTTCTGTGGGTCGGTGATATTCCCTCCATAAGGCTTGATGAGCCAGGGCTTTAGGGGGTAGGCAACATCTGCTAATATAATCGGGGGAGCGGTGACACTGCAGATCACTGCCTCCTCCACGCCAGGTGCGTAGTGTCCTTTCTCCACAAGGCCAGGCAAAGGGGTGCATCTGGACATGCACGCATCATGCAGGCTGTAGACCCACCCAGTATAAAGGTTCGTGAACCAGCACCGGTGGTCCACTGCGGCTTGCAGGATCACAGAGGCATATCTTTTCCTGTTTGTGAAAGCCCTCCCATTCCCCGCAGGGCACAGCACTGGGATGCGAATGTGTCTAAAGCCCCCACGCAGTTTGGGAACCCCGTCTCATTAAAGCCACCTGTGACTTGCTGCAGATTCACCAGGCAGATAATTTTGTTTGCAGCTATCTCCTTAAGCAGCTGGCATACCTCATGAATTGCCAGCCTGACCATGCAGGCAGCCACGCTGAACTGGTTTGTGATGTAGCGGAGGCTGGATGGGCTGGCCAGTTTTATGATGGCCATTGCAACCCTCTTGTCTGGTGGAATGGCCCGACGCATGTTAGAGTCCTGCCTCACAATGTGGGGCCCCAGCATCGAGACAATGTTATAGAAGGTCTCCCTTTCCATTCGGAACATCTCCAGTCACTGCTGGTCGTTCCAAGTCGTCAGCACGATTCGCTCCCACCAATCCGAGCTGCTCTCGCGGGCCCACAGCGTGTGGATTCAGGTCCTCCTCAGGTTTCCCAACAGAGCCCGGTCAAATTTCACTCGTTCGCTTTCCTCTGTGTATTCTAAGTCCTCTGGGTACCTGTATCTTCTTCTTCCTCTTGTCATTAATGCTGCTAAAGCAGGAACACAACTTGCCAGTGAACACTTTAGCAGTTCCTCTCCTTCTCAAGTGTTGCAGCTGTAATCCCCAGGTAAACAGCATTTGCAGAAGCAGTACTGCCACCTCCTCATGCTCCTGCTCACCCATGTCCTCTATATTCTCCATGTTGGAGGACACTTCACTGTGTTGTTCTCCATCATCACGCATTTCATCCTCATTCTCCATTTTGCCCCTCTCCATCAACAGCGGCTTCTCACCCATCTGCACCAACCGGGGGGCAGGGACTGTAAGGTGTTGTGTGGTCTGGAGCTTCATGTAGTTGCTTTTTCAACACTTTCACCCTGGCGCCCCAGGGCATTGGGGCTTTTGCACATCTTTTCATCCTGAGCTTAGCAGCCACTGGTGTTCTCATGTAATCAAGCTTGCAAACAAAATGTTTTGCCTACTCCTCTCCTGGTGATGGAGGCTACTCAAAACTTTTGCCACTTTAGGGAAAACAGGCTGTGGTTCTGCAATAAAATTATTTTGCACAAGCAGGCAGGTAGGTATCGATTTTTGCAACATTCTGGGCCATTGAGCAGCCATTCCAAAGTGCAATGGCCTTATTTACCCCATCACCAGGTCTTTTTTGTTGTTAAACTGGGTGCTTCATCACCTGTGGGTGTTTTGACACTTACAGGTAAGGACTTCACAATCATAGATTTCATAGACATCAGGGCTGGAAGGGACCTCGGAAGATCATCGAGTCCAGCCCCCTGCCCAAAGGGCAGGAAGTCAGCTGGGGTCACAGGATCCCAGCAAGATAAGCATCCAGTTTCCTCTTGAAGGTGTTCAATGAAGGCGCTTGAACCACCTCCGGTGTCAGGCTGTTCCAGACCTTGGGGGCTCGGACAGTAAAGAAATTCTTCCTTATGTCCAGTCTGAAACGGTCTTGCAGTAGTTTATGACCATTCGACCTAGTCGTCATCCCTTGGGGCGCTCTGGTGAACAAACGTTCCCCCAGATACTGGTGGACACCCCTGATAAACTTACAGGTGGCCACCAGATCACCGCTGAGCCTGCGCTTTTCCAGGCTAAAGAGCCCCAGGGCTCTCAGCCTGTCGTCGTAAAGTCTGCTTCCCTGACCTCTGATCATGCGCGTGGCTCTTCTCTGGACTCTCTCAAGCTTCTCCACATCCTTTTTGAATTGTGGAGCCCAAAACTGGACACAGTACTCCAGCTGCGACCTCACTAAGGCCGAGTACA